TTGTTTGGATTTCCTCAGTGTCTGTAGTTTTGTCCCCCTTTTCATTTCTGATTTTGTTGATTTGGATGGTGTCTCTCTGCCTTTTACTTAGCTTGGCTAAGGGTTTGTCAATCTTGTTAATTTTCTCAAAGAACCAGCTCTTGGTTTCATTGATTCTTTGAATTGTTTTATTTGTTTCTAATTGATTGATTTCAACCCTGAGTTTAATTATTTCCAGCCGTCTACTCCTTTTTGGTGTGTCTGCTTCTTCTTTTTCTAGGGTTTTTAAGTGGGCCATTAATTTGCTTGAATGAGCTGTCTCGAATTTCTTCTTGAAGGCACTTAGTGCTATGAACTTTCCTCTTAGCACTGCTTTCATTGTGTCCCACAAGTTAGGGTATGTTGTGTCTTCATTTTCATTGAGTTCTAGAAAGGCTTTAATTTCTTTCTTTATTTCTTCCCTGACCCAGCTGTCATTTAGTAACAAGTTGTTCAGTTTCCATGAGTGTGTAGGCTTTTTGCTATTTCTGTTGTTGTTGAAGTCCAGCTTTATTCCATGGTGATCAGACAGGATACAAGGGATTATTTCAGTCTTCTTGTATCAGTTGAGACTCGCTTTGTGACCCACTATATGATCTATTTTGGAGAAGGTTCCATGAGGTGCTGAGAAGAAGGTAAATTCTTTTGTGTTTGGGTGTAAAGTTCTGTAGATGTCTGTGAGGTCCATTGATTCATGACCTCTGTCAGAGATATTGTTTCTTTGTTTAATTTCTGTTTTGTTGACCTGTCCTTTGTTGAGAGTGGGGTGTTGAAGTCTCCCACTATTAATGTGTGGGGATCTATATGTGGTTTAAATTTTATCAATGTTTCTTTTACAAATGTGGGTGCTCTTGTATTTGGGGCATAGATGTTCAGGATTGTGATGTCTTCCTGGTGGAATATTCCCTTGATGAGTATGAAGTGTCCTTCCTCATCTCTTTTTATTAATTTTGGTTGAAAGTCTATTTTATCAGGTATTAGAATGGCTACTCCTGCTTTTTTCTTGGGTCCGTTTGCTTGGAAAGTCTTCTTCCAACCTTTTACCCTCAGGTAATGTCTATCTTTGTGTCTTAGGTGTGTTTCTTGTATGCAACAGATTGCTGGGTTTTGTTTACGGATCCATTCTGTTAATCTGTGTCTTTTTACTGGAGAGTTGAGTCCATTGATGTTGAGAGAGATTAATGACCAGTGGCTGTTAGATCCTTTGATTTTGATGTTGGCTGTGTTCATAAGGTTGTGTGCTTGGTTGCTTTTTGTTTTGCTGTAGTAAGGTTAATTATTTCCTGTGTTTTCTTGACAGAAGCTAATTTTCTTGGGTTGTATTTTCCCTTCCAGTGTCTTCTGTAATGCTGGATTTGTGTGTAGGTATTGTTGAAATTTGTTTTTGTCATTGAATATCTTGTTTTCTCCATCTATGAGGACTGAGAGTTTTGCAGGGTATAGTAGCCTGGGTTGACATCTGTGTTCTCTTAGGGTCTGCATGATATCTGTCCAGGCCCTTCTGGCTTTCATAGTTTCTGTTGAAAAGTCAGGTGTGATTCTAATGGGTTTGCCGTTATATGTTACTTGGCCTTTTTCCCTTGCAGCTTTTAGTATTTTTTCTTTGTTCTGTATACTTACTGTTTTGATTATTATGTGGCAGGAGGATTTTCTTTTCTGGTCAAATTTGTTGGGTGTTCTGTAGGCCTCATGTATCCTTATTGGCCTCTCCTTTAACTTGGGGAAATTTTCTTCAATGATTTAGTTGAAAATATTTTCTGGGCCTTGGAGAAGGGAGTCTTCTTTTTCCTCTATTCCTATTATTCTTAGGTTTTGTCTTTTCATATTGTCTTGGATTTCTTGGACGGTCTGTGTCAGGAATTTTTTGGATTTAACATTTTCTTTGACAGATACATCGATTTCTTCCATTGTATCTTCTACACCTGAGATTCTTTCTTCCATTTCTTGTATTCTGTTGGTTATGCTTACCTCTGTAGTTCCTGTTTTCTTCCCTAAATTTTTCCTCTCCATTATTTCCTCCATTTGTGTTTTCTTTAATTTTTCTAGTTCTATCTTCAGGTCTTGAGTTATTTTGTTTACTTCCTTCACCTGTCTGCTTGTATTTTCCTCTTTTTCTTTTAGTTCCTTCAACTATGTCTCTTTGATTTCTTTCAGTGATTTAATTATTTCTTCTCTGAAGGCCACAAGCTGTTTGGCTGCATCTTCCCGTATTTCTTCACGGATGGCTCTAATTTGCTTGTCTTTATCTTCCTCCATTTCTTTACGGATAGACATGATCTGTTTGGTTTTATCTTCCTCTAATTCTTTACGTATTTTATCTGTTTCCTCTATTATTCTCTTCATCAACATAGATGTAAGGTCATCTTCTTGATTTTCTATTATGCTGCATTGTTCAGGGCTGTTCGCCCCTGGATGGCTGGGTTCTGGAGATGCCATATTGCTCTGTCTTTTGTTGGTTGAGCCTTTACGCTGACCTCTACCCATTGGGCTGATTTAGGTGTTGGCTGTTAGTTTCTGTGCTTCCTGGAGTCCTGAGGTAGGGAGTATCCCCTTGGCCGGAAGATGATTTTTCCTGAAGGAGTCCTTCTCTGCTTTTTGGTTATGGTCACTGTATGGCCAGTGTTTCTCAGGAGTTGCCACTGCTCACCTCAGGTTTATAGCCCTGAGTAGTAGCTGTGGTCTATGTTAGGCAGGGGGGGATCTCCTCTTACCCATAAAATTTCTCAAGACAGCTGCCCCACTGCTGGGTTTCTTGTTATAAATTTAGTGTGCTGCTGCTCACTAAATTTCCATGTACAGTCCTCTTGAAGAGACTGTTGATTCCCTAGCTGTGGGGTTTTCTCCCAACAGGGAAACTCAGTCTGTTATCCTGGGGCACAGAGTTCTGTCTGAGAAAGTGGGAGGTGCACTCAGCAAGTCTCTGGGCCAAAGGCTGATTGCTCTGCTCTGGACCTGGAGAATGTGCACCTAGGTTGAGTTGGCGCCTGGGGGCACTGCTCTGGTCTGGAGGCTGGGTGCCTCACTCTGGACCAGAAGCTGTGTGTCTCTGTCTGAGATGGCGGCTGTAGGCACTGCTCTGGTCCAGACGCTGTGGGTGCAGCCCCCCTGAAGGATCAGGGATTCCCACAGTTTTGGCAGTCGAGCCAGGGACAACTGGCCGATCCCTGGCACAGTATCTGAGGGTTGCTGTAATGGCTCTTCGGCTCCTGCAGGTCCGAGGATGCAGCTGTGTGTCCCAGTGCCCCAGGGGAACGCAACAATGGCGGCAGAGCACAGCGCTTCTGCCTGCACTAGAGTCTGCGTGAGTCCAGGAAGTGTTTTGGTGCTGGGTGTCCTAAGCGTTAGAGCTGCTGACCCCCTCCGCTGGTGGTTTCCTCCTGCCAGAGACATGCAGTCTGGTGCCCTGGTGCCCTGGTGCCCACAGTTCTATCTGAGGCGGTGAATCATGTGCGCAGGCAGGGCTCTGTGCAGGCGCCTTTGTCCCTGCTCTGGGTCCGGGCTGGCTCCTGGGGCACCTGCGGAACCCGAGTCTTTTCCAGGGGATGTCTGGGTAACCTGGGGTCGGTCCCAATTGTTTCCTGCTCCGTGGGGTTATCTCTCGACTGGGAAATCCAGTCTATGGTGTTCTGGGCCCACAGTTCAGTCTGGGACCGTGACCAGATCGCGCTGGCGGGTAGCTCTGGGCTGGCGACCAAGAGCCTGGCGGAACGGGGATCTCTTCCGCGGTTTAGCTGGGTGAGTTAAAGCTGATCGAATCCCCCACCGTGGGGTATCCTCTCACCTGAGAAACACAACCACTTGTGTTTTATGGCAGCGAGTTCTGATTGCTGGTCACTGTGCCAATCCTGCTGTGCTGCTCCTCAGAATGAGAGTCCTCCCGGCGCCGCCATCTTGCCCCCCACCCATTTTTTTAATTTTTATTTATTTTTTAAACTAATTAATTTTTAAATAAAATAGAGTTTATTCACTTTGTATCCCAGCTATAGCCCCCTCCGTTGTTCCTTCCCAATTCCACCCTTCCTCCCTCTTCTCCTCCTATACCCCTCCGCCAATTCACTGATAGGGGAGGACCTCCTCCTCTTCCCTCTGCTCCAGGTCTCATCATGGCTGGCTGCATTGTCTTCTTCTGTGCCCTGGTAAGGCTGTTCCCCACTTAGGGGGGCAGGTGATCAAAGAGCCAGCCACTGAGTTCATGTCAGAGACATTTTCTGTTCCCTTTACTAGGGAACCCAGTTGGACAGTGAGCTGCCATGGGCTACAACTGTGCAGGGGGTCTACGTTATCTCTATGCATGGTCCTCTGTTGAAGTATCAATGTCAGAAAACAGCCCTGTGCCCAGATATTTTTGGTTTTGTTGTTCTCCTTGTGGAGCTCCTGCCCTCTCCACGTCTTTCATCTCCCCCTTCTTTCATAAGATTCCCTGCACTCTGCCCAAAGTTTGGCTATGAGTCTCAGCATCTGCTTTGATACTCTGCCGGGTAGAGCCTTTCAGAGTCCTTCTGTGGTAAAACTCCCGCCCTGCTCCCTGTTTTCCCCCTCTTCCGATGTCCATCCTGTTTGCCTTTCTGCATGAGGATTGATCATCTTACCCAGGGTCCTCCTTCTTGCTTAGCTTCTTTAGGTGTACAGATTTTAGTATGTTTATCCTATATTTCTAATATCCATTTATATGTGGGTATATACCATGTGTGTCTTTCTGCTTCTGGGATACCTCACTCACGATGATCTTTTCTAGTTCCCACTATTTGCCTGCAAATTTCATGATTGCCTTGTTTTTAATTGTTGAGTAGTATTCCATTGTGTAAATGTACCACAATTTCTGCATTTATTCCTCCATTGAGGGGCAACTGGGTTGTTTCCAGATTCTGGCTATTATAAATAAAGCTGCTACAAACATGCCCTTTTCATTTTATTCACATGGAATTTTAAATGAAGTTAAAGAAAAGCTACTTCAGGGGTCCCCACATAGGGTGGATACTTACCACATTCTGCTTTGTTGTTTCCTCCAGGGTCTGTATCACATATAACCTATTTCGACAGCGCATGCTATGTATATCTTCATAGCGAATACTACCATATTTCTGTAAGAAATCATTTCAGTATATTCTCATTCATAATAAATATTCACTTCTCTTACAATTGAATTTCATCAGACTCAATTCTCTGAGGCCTGGATTCTATATCTAGCTATTTTCCTGACTTTTTCAGTGACTTTGCACATTTTCATCTTAGTATATGTGAATATATATAAATAATTGTATTTATCTACTATATGTCTTGACTGAGAACATTAGTAAAAATTTTAGTCTTCAGAAGAGAATCATTTTTATACATTGATACATATATAAAAGTGGTCATCATTTGTGAAAGCAAGTGAATGTTAATATCATTTAATGAAAAATAAATTGTGGCAGAAGTTAAACAACCTAGGATCAACTCACTGAACCCAATTGTATAGTAAAGTTATATTTTAACTTGCTTCTTTTTTAAATTGTTATCGTAGTCTTTAAATGTACGGCATGCAATTATTTACAAATATTTACATGTACTATATAATTATATTTATGGTATAAAAACTTACCTCATTGGACTCTCTAATCAAATCTGTAATATCCACTTTAGTATGGCTGCCTTTTTCATCATTGAAATTTGAACCCTGCTGAACATTTGAAGGCAATGGGCTATCCTTATTAATGACATTGTCAAAGAACCTACCCAAAAGTGACAATAATGTAAGTGTTAGTGGAAGTAAAATAGTTTTACTCTCTGCCCCTCAGATTACTTTCTATATAGACACGTTCTAGCTTAAACTAGAATTACTAATGTTATGATTTACTGAATAAATGCTACTAGCACAAATGTGTAAGGAGCCTAAATGTTCAGATCAAAGTGATTTACTTTTGCTGCATTCTCTTTAAAGATTAAGGACAGGACTCTAGGCCTGGTTTTTTTTTCCTTCTACCAGCTTTGTGACTTAAAGCAAATTGTTTGAAATTTCTAAAGCTCAGTTTCCTTACTGGTAAACCAAGCAGACAGAATAATAAAATCACTTAGATCTCCACTGGATTTAAAAGTTTTACTTATGTGTATGTGTATTTACATACTACATGTGTTGACACACTCATGGAGGTCAAACGAGACTATCAGGTGCCCTGGAGCTAGACAGCAGCCTAACGTGGGTACTGGAAACTTATCTTCTTTGGGATAGCAGCAACAACTGGTAATCCATTTTTCCAGCCCACCTCCAGATTTAAATACTATAGTTCTTCTAGTACCTGTTTAAAGTGGTCACAGCTTCAGCATCATCTTTGCAAGTCAGAAGTTTGTCTAAATTATAGTCAAGGATTGCCAATCCCAGTTGTAAAATGGCCTTTATCCCATCATAGAAGAAACAGTCCACAACATTCACTGCACTTTCAATAGGTAGCACACTGATGAAAAGTGTGAGGAACCATGAGAGAGAAACTGAGGAAAAGAAGGTCATATCGGTCATGTGTTCTGTCAGTTGAGGAAGGTGATCCCTGATAAGTTCTTCAAACACTGCCTGATCGACCAAGGCACCTGGAAAATAGATAACACGTTTAAAAATGACCACCTTGTAAAAGGCTTTCTTTCTAACTCTTATCCACTTTCATTAGCTTCTGGATAGAGCTGATTTTTACTTCCTCCAAACAGGAGCCCATTAGTGCCTTTCCTATAATTTGGATATATCTGCAACTGCTAGAGTGTCATGAACCTAAAAACATCTGAGAAACCCCAATTCTTTTAAAGGGTTCTTGAGTCCTTCTTACAGTCAGAGACAAGTACTAGATACTGTAATTAGTGATGGGGTTCATCTTCAAAGAACTTAATATTTTTGTGGTAGTAAGATGTAATTTAGGGCCTGTGAATACGAGGAAAACATGCTATCATTGAGCTACATCTTTAGTCCTAAAAGAATTGAATATTGAGTAGAGGTAAAGATAAATGCACACTTGACTATAACAAAAGGCAACATAATCAAGACCTATGTACAACACTGAAAACTTACGAAGGTACAAAGGACAGACTATATATATGTGTTGAAATAGGGAATCTTTATATATTTGATGACTAAAGATAATATCATACAGTTAACATAGAAAAACTCCATTCTTTTAATATGTAAAGTCATATAATTATGAAGACTTCAAGCTGATTAAAATCTCTCTCCATCAAGAAGCATTAACATTTTCCTTAGTAACCCTAGATGTTGCAAGTCATCATTTTGACAAAGTAGTGCTTACAAACTTAAATAATTTCCTTTTCATCACAGAGCAGATCAGGTCCTTAACTTTAAAAACATAACATACGGGGGGCAGAGCCAAGATGGCGACTAGCACACACAGTTTCCGAGCTGTGGAAGAGATAAAGTTCTGAGTTGATGAGTGGAAGAACTTCTGAAGCCAGGGAAACAACGGAGAGACTTTCTAAACAACAGGGAACATCGCAGGAGGTGAAAACCTTGGTCTCCGGTCACCCAGGGACTTGTTTGGGGAAGGTGAGAAACGATCCTTTGATCTCTCGGCACTCCCCTCCCCCAGACCTCCCTCCTCCTTGGCACAGCGGACTCACCTTTCTCAGACTCGCCTTTCCCAGCGCAGACCTAACTGCCTGGGGCCTGCAGCCACTGAGGCGGAGCCCCAAGCCCTTTATCGGCAAAGGCCAGCAGTACTGTGTCTCGGAGCCCCAGATTCACGTGCGGCGGCTGCACCATCCTCCCAGGGCCCGAGTTTGCTAGAGGCCATACTAGCTCCACAGGAGAGCCTTCACTGACGGTATGGCCCGCCCAATCCCACAGTGACAGAGAATACGCTATATACTCACCAAAACCAGACAGAAACGCCATACAAGCTAGACACATCAGGACCTGGGCCTCTGAAGCTTGGAGAGCACAGTAAAGAGACCCCAGGACTTCCCAGAAAGCATCTGGACTAGCAACCCAGTCTCCAGTTACAGCGGGACTTTCTAACCTGGCGGCGGAGCAGCACTGAGCTGGCGGGGCACATCAGCCCTCCAGTTTAAGACTAACCAGGGCCAAACCAGAGAACAGAAAGGCTGGTTACCCCGATTCCCACTGACGTGACCACCCTGAAATCTCCAGCTGCAGCAAGACCTCATAACCTGGCAGTGACAGCAGCACGGAACTGGCAGAGCACATCAAAGAAGCAGGGCCAAACCAGAGAGCAGAGAGCCCAGTTACGCCGATCTCTGCCAAGTGTCCTGCCTGTAAGTGAGTGCACCCTTGAGAATCTGCAGCTCCACTGATCCTGGGTTCTTCTAAAACAGAAGCCAGGCATCGAACCCCCTCCCACCCATATACCCACTTTGGGAAACAGAGGGGCACTTGGAACATTGAAGTTCCTGCTCTGTGGGTCTAATTGAGGAGTTAAGGCAGTTAATGCCAGAAATTGCGCTGC